ACTGATGGCAAGTAGATGGTGAAATTTTGAGTCTCATCTCCTGTTCTTAGTCCTGTCATTCAGTGAGAGGAAACTGCTTTAAAAACTATAATGAAAAGTCGTATCAGGAAGTGGAAAAGAGAACCATAACTGGAAAGTTCAGTTTGTCTCCCGGATAGGTGTTCTGAGAGAGGTTTTGAACGCTTCTTTTTTTTTTTTTGTCTAGAACATTAGCAAAATGCATTTATCTCTATTTTTGATGAAAATTATGTGTGCAAACATACAAATCAGTGTAAAGTATCTATTTTGTAGATCTTTTTAAACAAAATGTGAGTTACAGTTGGCACACAGCAAAAGCTCCTTTTTCCCTGGCGCTGAGAAAGCACCATGTATGAAAATTTCCCTTCATAAAAAGAGGGGTGTGTGTGTGTGTGTGTAGGTGGCCCAAGTGTAAATATTTAAATCTACCAAAAGGAATTATTTGTTAGCTGGAGTGTCAAGCATTTCTGTAAAGTTCTTTCAGACAAACTACATTTATTCATGAAATAGCAATAACAACAGGTACATATATTTTAGATAAATTCCCTGAACCTTGTTGCTGCCCTCTTAGGGGATACTGTATTTCCTGTTATTTCTAGAATCTGGAGCCCTGTAGGTACATTATAGGGAGAACAGGTTTTGTTTTGTTTCGGGTCATCATAAACTTTGTCTTTGATCCAATTTGTCCCAATTCCTTCCCGAATAAGAAACAGGTTTATGTCTTTAAGGGGCTTTGGTCAAAAAATGACTTTAAATACAAAGCAATCCAGAAAGCTGACCCTACTGGTTCGGCTCAGTGGAAGGACTTCCCCAACTTACTAGGAAACCACGCAAGCGCAGGTAGTCAACACAAATGGGCAAAATGAAACTGTGCTGTGGAGGTGGCATCTTCTGGCTGGCGGCGGGGGGCGGGGGGGGGGGCGGGGAGCGATGAGAAAGGCCACGAGGGTAAAGTGGCTCACATGCTACCCTGACCTAGCACACTGGGTGAGCATACACACAAAGGAACAGAAGGTTTGAGTTACCAGTCATGCAATGTCCCTAAGTTACAGAGAGAGGAACCTTCAGACAAAAAAAGGCCACCTCCTAAGTATTCCTCACCAACAACACCTGATTGAGCATTCCAACAGTAGATGCAAATGTTTAACACTTTTTGGTCTGGAAAGGGTTTTAGTCCTGACTACACGGTCAGATTTAGCTCACAGTTTTTCACCTGCAGCGGTTACCTCAGCCTTGAGAGAGCTTGGTAGAGTCCGGAGACATTTTAAATACAGTCTGACAAATGCTACCTGGTCAGCCTCAGGAGGCAAGAACATTCTTCCTGTGCACTAAGATACACAGCAACCCGAGCCCATCATGATGAGCCTCTGGGAACATACTACCACACTTGGAAACTCAGGTCGCTTTATGGAAGTTCAGTTGATAATGGAATATTTTACTTTAAAAAAAATATGTGAAAGTCTGCGTTCAGCATAGACATAGAATTAGTTTGAATTGGTCCCTGGAAAAAGGAGTCATGTGCTCAACAAAAGGACTGGAACTCATCTGGATAAGAGTGAAGTAGGTGCAGTGTCCATACTCACTATGTGTTTGGGTAGATAGGGGTTTTGGAGATGTTTGGTTATAATTTTTAGAATTTATGCTTCACATTTATCATAACCATGCTGCAGTTTTCTGCTATGACTGAAGGCATCACTAAAGGCATCATCGCTCACCTGAGAGATAACAATCTTAGCACTCAGTTACCAGGCAGCAAAGGGATACTGACTTGAAGTGAACCTCAGCGGGAACTCTTAGAATCTACTGACAGGTTCACCAAGGTAGTAGAAGTTGTTCTGGGGAGGGGAGAGGGAGGAGGAGAGGGCCGCAGCAATGAACTGAGCTACCGTTCAGAAGCAATTGTTCTTGGGTTCCCGAACCATGGGATGTGGCATTTGAACTGCCATCTTAGGACTTCAGAAAGGTCATGCACCTTCTACATCCATTCACATTCCCCAACACCAAATGCCCATCCACTCTGATGGTCGCTATATACATGCAGAATTTTCCAGTCTAGGTTTTCAATTGCATGAACAATGGAAAGGAAGGTACCAACACCAAAGCTCTTGGAAGTATTTGTTCAACAATCAGGGTTTGTCTCTAAAAAATTGCAGGGGTGCGGGTGGTGAGAAGGTGGGCAGCAGAGAAATTCATTCTTGAAAAATAATTGAATTGAATCATACAATAGAAGATGAGTGTTAAAAGTGTACACATTTACACAAGCATGTACTTTAAGGTATCTTCATCTTTAAAATACAAATGTAGTTAGGCCGTTGGTAAAAATGACTTGTGATTATTTAGGCTGTAGTGGGAGTTGGAGACAATGTAGGAGGTTAAGTGTATGTGTGTGTGTGTGTGTGTGTGTGTGTTGGTGCAAAAAGGCTAAAAAATCTTGCAGTTACATAGCTACAAGTTTTAATAGTTTGATGACAAGAAAACCACACTGTGGCTTTACCTCTTACAACAAAAATTTAATTTTAAAACTAAAATCTCTTCATGAAATGAGGAACAGAGAGTTTTCTCTTCCCACAAGCTTTATAGCAGGACTGTAGGTGTGCATTTACCTGAGCTCTGTGACAATCCATTCTGGAAACTTCTCAGTGAAATTCACACCAGCATGGGAGCTTTGGAACAGAGAATGAACTAGGAAGTTTCATCCACTTCCACGGAGGGCTGGAAAATGGAAAGTATCCAAAGTTCTTTGGCTTTGACACTTGCCCTCATGCTTCTATGACTGGGATTAAAGTAGTTCAGTGTAGGCATGCCTGACACCTACATGTGACATAGGCTTCTGACTTTGTTTTTTGGTCGTAGAGCCAATTAATGTCATTTGCAATGATGTTTTCAGGGAAGGGGTTTACACAAAAGTAAAACACACCTCTTGACCTTCCACTCTTCTCACCTTGATTTTGCTTGCCCCTGTACAATACTCCATAGAGGAAGGGGCTTGTAAGAGCCCTCTGAACATCATACTTAAGTCCTTGACATCTGCATGTATACATGGGAATGGGACTCAGAGGCCAGGAAAGTTTTCTTGGCCTCACTGTTTCATACAAGATTACACAAGTGAGTTTTAACTTTGACTTTGACTCTGCCCACATTCTGAGGTGGTTACAGAAATACTGTTTTGTCATGCAAATAGGTTCTGTTGCAAACCGGTCTGCTTTGTTTGCCACCCTTGCTTTGTCCTGCCCTTCACTGAGAGTTCTGCGGATTTTTGAAGTTCATTGGTCTATTAAAATGTAAAACATTCTTGGGCCTGCCTTGCAGGGTGCCAAAGTGGAGAGTGATTACAAATGCATGGGTCTTAAAATCAAGGTGAGAAATGACCTGGGTTTGTTGAAAACATCTCGCATGTACTCTTCTGTAAGTTTCATCTAACTTAGTAATAATGTATACGACCTAGTTCCTTGACCTGGAGATGGTTATTATCCAACAACACACTTACCTATCAGTAACCTTGCTCCAGAGACTTATACCCAGAACTTTCCCAGGAACTGTGTCTAGTTATGGAAAGAGGAAAAAAAAATCTTGAACATAACCACCAATTCAGGGCAACAAGAAAATCACCCTAATGGAACTGTCCAAAATCCACTAGTCCGTGCCTGCTGCCTTCTTCAAGTCTAGTATACTGCACGGTTAAGGATGCCAGTTTCCTTCAGCAGCTCAATTAGAACAACTGGTGAGATTTGGGGGCTTGTTATTCTCAGATGGTCTTGGAAAATCTGGGAGAAAAAATGAGGGTATTCGGATGGTTTTCTCCCCCTGCCCCCACTCAATTGCTTCTGGTGTCCTAAAGTGTTGGTTCAACTTTTCTTAACTCTAAAGAGTGTTCTCTCAGTAAGGTAAGCACCTGTAAAACTTACAGAATGCAGACGGAGATGCTTTATAATTGGGAACAATGGGATTGAAGAAGACTACAGATAAAAATTCTTTTCCTCAACTTTAGAGCCATTGGGATTTTTTAAAATTAATCTACTGACTAAAAGAAGTAAGGTGAGGGGTGAACAGAAGGCACTGGTTGTGGAAGCAAGTGTCTATCCCACAGGAAGAGGGGCTCTCACAAACTTCAAAGTCACCTCTATTCCATGCTTGAGTGATGGTTCCAGAAAGTGGGTGGGGATGGTGTGTGTATAGTGGGAGGCAGTTACTAAGGAATGGGGAAAGTCAGTCCTTTGAGAAGTCTGCAGCCATTCCTACTCCTCTTGGCTTAAAGCCTTCTTACGTAATGCCGTGAGCTGATGCCTGTCAGTCTGTCTGTGTCCTCAAACATTCCAAACACTGGGCAGAAGTAGTGGCATCAAGAGCCCTGCATTAGGGTCACTGTTTACGTACATAACTAAATTAAGAAGGTGGATTAAACTGGAACTAGATTTAATCTCTAAGAAAATTTGCAAGGGTTTCAAATACAGTATTCCTATTTCTTTATAGTCAGTGGTCTCCTCAGTTATTATAAGACTGAAAACCAGACACATTTCCTGAACAGTTAAAATGACCGGATCCATGATGGTCTCCTGAGATCTCCTCTTGCCCGCCCTCCCCCAGCCCCATACAAGCAATTCCTTGGTTATCATCCTTACAAGTGAATCGCAAATCTGAACCCGAGGCACAAAATTCAGTGGTAGTGAAATTACAGTCTGAGGTCCCAGCAGTAGCTTAATTTTGAGAAGAAATCTGAAACAAAAAGAGCCTACAGAGACGAGTAACAAATTACATGCAAATATCAGATGTTTATAGATGGATAGTCCTTACAAATTCGAGATCACATATTTGCCACATATTAACGTGGGAAATCTTCCACGAATTGAATGCGTGTATGAGCCATTGACATCAAAGATTTCCCTCAAATAATTACTAGGCAGTAGAAATGAAGGTTAATCGACCATTTATAAACGCTGTTGGTTGGTGATGGGCCCCCTCCAGCTGCCTGTGTGCGTGTGTGTGTGTGTGTGTGTGTGTGTTGTGGGGGGGGACATTAACAGCCACAGTTGGGCTGTGGCGGAGGAGGGCTCTCCTTGAGTCTTGTGTTCTGCTTGGCGGCAGTGACGGCCGGATCCGTCTCCAAACTCTCGGACATTTTGTCGCAGATGATATCCACAAGACGCTCAAACGTCTGCTTGACATTAATGTTATCCTTGGCACTTGTTTCAAAAAATTCAAAGCCTGGAAGAAACAGGGAGAAAGACAGCTTGGTGATTTTACACTTCTGCTGAAAGTAAATGGGACTTGATGATGGTTTTTTCCCTGGGGGTTGGGGCAGACAGAAGATGTGGACCTAAGATGCGATTTGAACAAATGCTGTCATCTTGCTACCAAGTCTTTTGTTCACAGCTACAGTGACATTTGATTTTTCCCTGTCAATTTATTTATGAATTGAATGAACCACCACCACCAAATCTCTTTACAAAAGCTTATTAGTAAAATCCTCCACCCTGAGTCTGTCTTTGCCCTCCTTTCCTCCAGCTCTGAGCCACCAGGAAGCTTCTTGGAATCTTTTTTAAGATGTGTAATTGGGCATATTTTCCTTATCCCTTTTCAGATTCGTCATAATTGTCCATGGGCATGTTTTCATTAACTTGAGGCTTAGAAGACTTCATCAGTATGTTCTGCTGCAAAAGGGACTACGGACTGCCTCACCACACTCCCCGGTGACTCCTCCTGAGCCTGAGGCCCCACCGCGGATCCATGGTGAGCTTTTGGGAATGTTTCCATACCGAACTGGACACAAGGTGGCACTAAAGAGTCAGTGGATTAACCCTAAATGTGCTTCAACCTGTTTGGAAAATTGTGTGTCCTGTTAGGTTAACAGCTCTCCGTGGCTTTGGTGCATATTTTTCTGGGGCTTCTATTCTCTATTCTATGCTCTATCAGCAGCAGTGTTTTTACTGGCATCTGGAAAAAGACACCTGATATATATCAAAGGCGCTGCCAGAATTGCAAGAAGGTACAGAAGAGGTGGTCACAGTTGCACACTTCTCCCCATCCCTGTACCTGGGCAGAAGCAGACTCGGGCTGCTGTTCTGTACACAGTCTTATCACTATTGTTTGCCTTCACATTCCACGGGCTCAGCTTGCCAGTTAGTTGCCATGACAACCTCCCAGTCCATTCAGGGGACTTTGATTTAGGATGTGCTGGGCAGGACACAAAAACGCTTTCCTAATCCATTCTGAATTTTACGCCCTATAAATCCTTCTGGTTACATCTGGCCCTATCTCAGAGGAGCCACATGGATTCAGAATGATTAAATCATGTGATTTCGTCTCAGTTCTTGGGGCCCAAGGGAAAAAAAAATAGACTCATATTTTACATTCATGTCTAAGCCCTCTGATAACCCGGAAATACTTTGTTGGTCATCCTCAGTATTATTTAAAATTAGTAGTTCTCTGGAGTTAAAATTTCTAATTTAGTTATGACAGATGAGTAGTTAGAGGACTATATTTGAGCTTGAATTCCATTAGCTAGTGTGTATTCTATTATTCCCTTGTGTTTTAACAATTGTAGGGTTGGAGTTAAAGGAGCATGAGTGGGACTGTAAAGTTCTGCTGGATAATTCAGAACCCCCTTTGGCTTGTAGTTTGCTTTCATTATAGCTCTGAAAAATTCTGGATTTCTTAGCAGAAAACACAAATATAATTCTCTTTCCTAATGTTTTTACAGTCTACAGAGCTCTGTCATTTGTCTTACAACAATTTGATCCAGATTTTGGAGAACTCAGCTGTGCATCTAAACAATATCCTTATTGCAAAGATGTTAGAACTACCTGCATTTTATTGGGGTTTTTCCCAGTGCTAAGTGAAGGATTCTTTAAGTCCCAAGATACTAAGACCCTACTGCATTAGTTAAGATCCCTGAGTAAGACTTAAGAGAAAAAACATCCACGAATTGGGCACAAAGGTGCCCAATCATGTCCAGATTCAATTCTCTCATCTCTTCTGCTAACACTTAGTTTTCTTCCTAGTGCTATTGGAGAAGGCACTGAACTTGAAGGTATCATAAAAGATTTGGCCATCGTGATGAAACCATAACCCAGGTAAGCTTTTGTCAGATGGGATTCCTTAAACCTGGGCTTTCGGACACATTTTGCTGCTGGTGTACAGCTTCAGGTCAGTAAAATGATCTCTATCCCAAGGGCCAGAGTGCTCTCAGGGGCTTATAAGAGTTTTGAATAGAAGACGGTGCCACGGTATGGAAGCAAGATGGATTATCAGTTGGAAGATACAATATCTAAGTCTACTACCAAGTCATGTTTTTAGTGTCCCGTTATTTATGACATGTGCCTTACTTCGTTTACAGAGAGAGCTATCACGAGGCTCAAATGAGAAAATGTATGCACAGGTTCCCAGCAAACCAGATGCTGCTCTGATAATACTAGTAATAGTAAACACACAGTTGAATGGTTAGTGTATAACAGGTACTCTTCAAAGCCCTTAATATACTGTACTCATTTTATCCAGGAGGTGGTGCTAGTACTGAAAAACTTCACTGGTTAGGCAAAGGAGGCACCAGATTGTCAAGTAGTTTAGCTCAAACATCTTTTTTGCTCAGCTGGCTTTGAGCTACTAAACTGGCTACTCCCTTGCTCCTCCAGATACCTATAGAAGTAAGCAGTTATTGGATTCCAGCTGTATTTTAAGTTCTATGCTAATTAAAACTGCACTATATATCATAAACTTTTATCATTTAAGTAATTAGAAAACAATTAAACAGATTTAATAATGACTGAGAAAAACACCTTTTCTTAATGATATCAAGGTGGCCATCAGGCCAGCTGCATTGGCAGACTGCCTCACCAAAGTGAATTTTGGGGTTTCCCCAGTGTATCTAAGTCTCAAAAAAAAGCACATAACTAAATTAAGAAACACTGTATTGCTTAAAATTGTTAACCATCTGAACTTACAGTGAGTATTAATCTTTTTGCAACATTGATGGATGCTGAGAAGTGGGGTGGCTGACAGTTTCTTAAGACAACAATGAGGTCTGCATTATCAGTGGACTCTTCCGTTCTGGAACAATTTCTCTATAGCATGAGATGCTGTTTGAAAGCATTTTACCTGTAGCACTTTTTTTCACAATTGGGAGTCTATGCTCTCAAGCCCTGTCACAGCTTTATAAACAGAGTTGGTTGAAATGACAACAATGGGCTTACAATATAACAATCCTAACAGTATCCTCAGTAGGAACAGATTTCACTTCAAACCCCTTTCTTTGCTCATCCCTAAGAAGCAACTCCTCTTCAAGTCTGACCATGAGACTGCAAAATTCAGTCATATCTTCAGGCTCCTCTTCTAATTGTTGTTCTTTTGCTATTATACAAATCTCCATGGTTACTTCCTCCACTGTAGTCCTGAGCCCAAAGTCCTCCATGAGGAGAGTAATAAACTTCTTGCAAACTCCTCTTAAGGTTGATACTCTATTCTGATCTCTTCCCCTGAATCACCAATGTTTTTAGTGGTATCTAAAATGCTGTATCCTTTTCAGAATGTTGTCAATTCCTGTGCCCAGATCCATTGGAGGAATCACTATCTATGGAAGGTGTAACCTTCCAATGTAGAAGGCTTGAAAATATCAGTGACTCCTTGATGGTTAGGAGACATGAAAACAACATTCATTTTGTGGCATATCTTCAACAGAGTTCTTGGATGACCAGGTACATTGTCATAAGCAATATTGTACATAAGCAATAATGTCCTGAAAGGAAATTTTTTTTCTGAGCAGTAGCTCTCAACAGGGGCTTAAAATACTCCCTACACCATTTTGTGAGCAGATCTGCCATCATCGAGGTGGTGCTGTTCCTGGAGCATAGGCAGACTATACATAGTATAACTTTTAAGGCCCCTTAGACTTTTGAAATGGTAAATGAGCACTTTTCCATTATGGAGATGGCTTCTTCCCTTGAAGCCAGAAGCTAGCTGAAGTTGGTTTTTGACTTTTGCTTCTGTAGCTTCATTCTCAATTATGCTTTGGCCTAATGGAATGTTGTGTCTGGTTTGATCTTCCCTCCAGACCACTAAAAGTTTTTCCCTATCAGCAATAAGCTGTTTGAATTTTCTTATCATCCATGTATTCACTGGAGTAGCACTTTTAACTTCTGTCAAGATTTTGCATTCACAACTTGACTGTTTCATGCAAGAAGCCTATCTTTTGGCCTGTATCAGCATAGGAAAGAAGACCTACTGCATGACTTCATTTGAGAGAAGGCCCCACATGAGCTAGTTATTTACATCGAAGATCATGTTCACAGACAACTGTAACAAATACAATGAAAAAGTTTTAATGTTACACCAAGATATGAGGAGATCAAATAGTATTGGAAAAATGGTGCTCATAGACATGCTTGATACAGCATTGTAATAAAACTAGCTTTGCCTCAATCTCTACACTGTATTATAGATATAAAAGTTTCTAGAAATGATTATTGTAGCATCAAGTTGTTTGGATTCAGGGCAGATCTAGGTTTACAGTGCCGTAAGTGATCCACTATCCATTCTTTGTGAAGCCACTCATGCTATACCTCACGGATGTATAAAGCCCATGGCCTAAATCATAACAACAGATTCTAACACCTCACCCTTTATTCTTCTTTGTTGGATTTTCAGGGCCATCCCCTCCCAGTATTTTAATTTCAACTACAGCAAGGTGACCTTATTCTTAGAAGTCTTGAACTAGTTTTTCTTACTAACATGTAAGACCATTTTTAATTTACTAGGTAGGATAGTGTGGTTCTGGAGTTTAAATAAGTAGCCCAAGGTTACACAGCAAGCTGACCGTGAAGGCTCACAGAAATCTGATAAATAGGTTACTGATTTAGCTTCCAGGCTTCGACACCTGTCCCTTAAACTTCATCAGCCAGTATTCATAATGAATTCACATCCTCTGACTGTCATTTCTCTTTCTTCCCTCATCAAAACCTAATTCCCAACTTGTTCCCAACTTGGATGAGTCTTGCACTACACTCCAGTACATCTCTGGTTCATGTCTTTTCCTGCCTGATTCCAAACGATTGTTCCTGCCCTTTCCAAAGGTGGTTATAGGCACTACTGGACTTCATGTGTGACCTTATGCTTCAGTTCCACTTGACAGTGAGGGACTCCACAGAAACTGGGAAATATTTTGTATGGAAAAATGGGCTGAAGAAGGGAAAAAAGCCAAAATTAAACTTGTG